ATGGGCAGAAATGGAGGTGGAGGAGAAACAAAAGAAAAAGAAGAAGAATCTTCATTTTGGAAATGAGACCGCTCACTGGGATGCCGATGAGAAACAATACAAGCAGCAGTAGTCAATAAAAGATGAGGCAGTGAATGGCATCAAGCTGTAAAAATGAATATAATCAAGCAGAGTATGATGGATGCAGAGTTATGCATGATTAAGTACAGATTAATGTAGAAGGAATACACCAAGTAGTTGTAAGTAGACGCTTTGATTTATTCTTATGTTATATCTGTTTTTAAGCTTTTCTTCATAACCATCAGGTATTATGCTGGACTGGTAGCTTCATTAGAGCTTCGTTTGACTTTAAAAGAAAAAAAGGGAGAAGCAATGAGCTAAAAGAGGCTAAAAAGATTTGTAAACTGGTCATAAACGTCAGCACTGGTGGCACTTACGTAATACAAGTAGTTTAACCTCCTAGGACCTGGTGTCCACATATGTGGACATCACATTTTGGGACGTCTAGACCAAAATACTTAATTTTTTCTCTACAAGGGCCTGATATCCACTTGCCACTGTTCTATCAAAATTTGATACAAATGTCCTCATATGTGGAACTCATTTTTCTCAAAAACAAAAATTAGGTGAAAAAAAAAATCTGGTAATTCTTTGTTTTTACATTCTTTAGGTCCCAATCAACCCAAATAGCAAAGAAAAATTAAAAATGCATGCCACGAAAGAGTTCGGGTCTTAGGAGGTTAAAACTGGCCTAATTGCTGTCTGCTGAATTAATAATTTAGCTACATAGGCAATAAAAAAAAACAGATGTGGCTAGATCTGAAAAATGAAGCCAGTGCTGAATTGCCTTCACTATTCTGAATGGCCAGCAGGGGGCGACTCCTCTGGCTGCAAAAAGATTTCCATTTGTACTGAAACGTATGGGAAAAAACTTCCTCGGCTCCCTAACTGTGTGACCTCAATTAACACTTTTCTGGTGTCTTTATGAAGTCAGCCAGAGTCCCATCACATTTAGTAAAACTTAAAGTTCATTTTTCAAATTGTGGTCAGTATTACAGACAGAAAGTACAATTGCCCAAGCTATGTACATTGGCTAAGGGTTCAATCAAATCAATCTTAAGTTGTTAGTCAATGACAGAAAGCTGTCCTGGTTTTACCATTAGGTCCACCGTTGATCACTTTTGGTTTCAATACTATGTTTGGCATACATATGACCTTTCAGCGAACAGATGTGATTTTTTTTTATTATATTTCATACACAACCAACCTCACATCCATGCTTTGTTTGAATCTGAAGGATATTATTTCCAGCACTGTGGTTACATCTAATATAATGTGTTATATTGTGATTCTGCTGTATAGTTTACACACTTTTCATTGACTAATACTTGAACTTTGTCTTATTATAGCTCAATGTGCACTTTCCTCTGTTATTGCAAGGTTACATTTTTCTGTACTTTTCTTTTTCTATGAACTATAAACTCCATAAATTCATATACAGTCTACATCTGTAATCATTGGCAGAGATGTTCTACCAATCCACTTGGTGTATTCCTTTCATATCCCCGTGAAAGGCAAAATGAACATACTTGTGCTTTGGTTGGAGGGAATCATGGAGCATCTGCAGGGCGGTAGCCTTGTCGTGTTCAGCAAAATACCTGTAGAAAGACAACAGAAGGGAAATGCATGTCTGAACTTCCCACTCATGGATATGCACATGTAGCCTATGAATTATAATTATTTATTTATAGTTTTGGCTTTGATTTAAAGTCTTTAAATGACATGCTGAACATGTATATCTCCATATGTAAGTGTTGCACTGCTTGGCTGGTTTTTAATCTGTGTTCCAGGACGACAGCTTACAGCAGGTTGTGCAGGCCCAGCAGTCCCATGCCCCTGAAATCAGTCTTTGGATCGCTGCCCTGGAAACCAATCTCACACCACTGTTTGGATATGCGACCCGTGAGAGGTGTGTCAGGGCGCAGCTCTTTCCATAGCTACAACACACACACAAGCACACAACCACAGCTCAGTAGAGTACAATTATTATTCTATAACAAAGCATAGTATTCATTACAGTGTAATATCATGCCTGACAAGTGTAAGTACATGAGACTGTAACATAGTGGTACAGGGGGAACTTTTTCTATAGTAAAAAATGTATTTAATTTAGTAGTGGGAGAACATCCATTTAATGAAATGAACTACGGGATAACCGATTTAACTCAAGCAAATGTAAAGAGTAATGATTCAAATAAGTGACCCCAGTCATGAAGTTTATCTGACGCTACATGAAAACAGATAATATTTTGTTCTCTTTAACCAACCAGAGAGAGACTGCATACCTTCATCAGCATTTCCTCATGCTCAGGATTTTCGCAGTCATAAGGCTCCCTGCGTAGCTTCTCCACCTCTGCCACCAGGCTCCTGTAGCCCACAATCTGCAGCAGGCTGGCCTGCAGAGAGATGCCGAGCCTGGAGAGACAAAGGGACAGGCAGTCCGTTTGTCTCTGAGGAGTGCATTGTATAAACTCTCCGCTGTCCTTCACAGCTACTCTAGGGATTAGCTTCCTTTGTTAACCTCTAATTAACCACAACACAAGAACAGAAATGTGATATGCAGCGCAGAGTCTCACTGTGGGTTGGTGTCAGGGTTAATTTTCTTCAAGGCCATGATGTCATCGATGGTTTTCTCCACTTTATCAGGATGGACGCTGAGGGCAGACTGCAGCAGCTGGAGTGGATAAGAGCAGAGAAGATGGCAGGAATATAAAGAGAGAGGCAAGGACAGAGTGGGAACACATGTTAAGGACTGAGGCAAGAAGACTGAGCAATAAACCCGGATTATGTTGCACGTGCATAACGACAGATTGAAAGAGCCCCATACCTCATTCTTGGAGTACCTCAGAGATGACTCTGCAAGGAAATGTTGCAAAGAGTAAGACAAATGTGTACAGTAACAGTGAACAAT